GCATCAGAGCTGAGGCGCAACCCAGTATGGTGCAAAGGATCAAGACAGCGAAGAGTAGAAGGAGAAGCAGAAGAGTAGGCAGGGCAACCATAATTGAGTTTAGACAGGACGAGAGAGGAATGCAAATAGAGGAGCGTGCGTCTATCCGCTCCCCAAGAAGTATGGGACAAAACCTTAAGTAGGTTAAGGGTCTTAGAGCATTCAACACGGAGGTAAGAGACATGGGGCGTCCAAGACAAACGAGTGTCAAAGAATAACCCCAAAAGCTTCACGGAATCTTCGTACTCAAGGGGATGACCATAAAGTGACAAAGAGGGACGAAGAACGACCCGCTCCCGAGTAAGTCATGGCACAAGTCTTAGTAGTAGAGAACTTGAAGCCATGATTGGTGGCCCAAGATGACACGGCATCAATCACAAGTTGACGCCGCTGTTGAAGGAGAGGCGAATCATCACCCTGACAGCAAAGGGTAAGATCATCAACATAAAGAGCGGAGAAGATGCCAGAAGGAAGGGAGGAAAGAAGATCATTGAGGGCAACCTGAAAAAGAATAGTACTAAGAACACCACCTTGGGGCACACCTTCATACTGCCGAAAAGAGGCAGTGAGAGTGGTACCAAGACTGACTCGAAAGGTACGACGAGAGAGAAAGCTTTGAAGGAAGAGAGGGAGATTACCACGAAGGCCAAAAGAACGAAGTTGGGACAGAATATGGTATCTCCAAGTCGTGTCATAAGCCTTTTCCAGGTCAAGAAGGACGGCAACAACGGAGGTCTTCGCAGCAAAAGCAGTACGAATATAGACCTCCAAGTTCACCAGGACATCAGTCATGCTGCGGCAGTTGCGGAAACCAAATTGAGAAGGAGAGAGGTGGCGATGGTGTTCCAAGAACCGCATCAGACGGACATTTACCATACGCTCAAACAGCGTGCAAACACAACTCGTGAGAGCAATAGGGTGGAAGTCCTTAGGGGACGTACCGAGAGACCCTGGTTTCCGAATAGGGAGTAGAACAGCATCGAGCCAGTCCTCAGGGAAGGACGACGACTCCCAGACCTGCTTATAAAGACTCGGTAAATACTGAGACGTGCCCGGAGGGAGATGGCGAAGCATCTCATACTGAACGTCACCCGAGCCCGCTGCCGTAGATCCGCAGAGGGCCAGGGGAGACTGAAGTTCAGAAAGAGAGAAAGGATCGTTATAGGGAAGGCGGAGATGAGTGCGGAAATCTAAAGGACGAGATTCAAGAACAGGCTTACGAAGAAGGAAGGATTGATGAAGATGAGAACCAGAGCTAACAGAAGAAAAGTGGGAACCCAGTTTGGTCGTGACCTGCACTGGATCCGCCACAAAAGTACCACAGAGGTAGAGAACCGGCGAGACATCTGGAACGAACTTGCCCGCTATCTTATGGATCTTCTTCCAGATCTGCGGCAGAGGAGTATCGGACGTAATGGTGGAAACATAAGATTTCCAACTCTCACGTTTAGCTGTACGGATGGTCCTACGGGCCACCGCACTTGCCTTCCGAAACAAAATAAAAGAATCAGCCGTCTGGCGGCGGTGGTGTTTCTTCCAGGCTGCACGCTTACAGCGGACAGCCCGAGCACAGTCCACATTCCACCAGGGAACGCACTTCCGTGTGCCCCGGGAGGAAGAGCGAGGAATAAAGTGGAGGGCAGCGTTGAAAACAAGTCATAAAAAAGAAGGAGGGTGCGAGGAAGAGGTAGAGAGGAGAGGTCAGAGAGAGTAGCACAGAGGGTAAATAGGCTCCAGTCAGCCATGGCAAACTGCCACCTAGGGAAGGAGAGGGGAGGGTGGAAAGAGAAAAAGGAAACGAGGATGGGAAAATGATCACTGTTATGGAGGTCATCCAGAACCTGCCACATGAAATCTAAGTAAAGGGACGACGAGCAGAGAGAAAGATCAAGACAGGAAAGGGTGCGAGTTCGAGAGTCCACATGAGTGGGCTCACCAGAATTCAGAAGAGATAGGGAAGAAGCGAAGACGAACGGTCCGAGAAGGCGGCCTCGGGTGTTTGTCAGAACATCACCCCAGAGGGTATGTCGACAGTTGAAATCACCCAACAGGAGCACCGGCTCTGGCAAGGAGTCCAGGAGCTGCTTAAGATCAGGAAGGGAAAGCGGGACACTCGGGGGGAGATAAATGAAACAGACTGTATACCATTTACCCACAAAAACACCGGCAGCAGAACAATGGATAGGTGACGGAAGAAGTAGGGGGACGAAGGGAATATCAGATCGAATCAAGAGAGCAGTAGAGTTATGGGCCACAGCAAGAGCTGGGGGGGGGGGAGAAAGAAAGGAATAACCAGGAAAGTGACCAGGACGAGCACCATGCATGGGTTCCTGGAGACAAACACAAAGTGGTGTAAACTGTGTAATTAGAAGTTGGACTTCATGGAAGTTGGCATAAAATCCACGAATATTCCACTGAAGAATAGACATTACCAAAGAGAAAGGACAGTAACAGAGAACAAGAAAGAAATAAAGGTATAGAAGAACACAGTTTATTAAAGAATCTCAGGATCAGGAGCAGGGTCGGCAAAATCAGGGTTAGGGGGCATAAGTAAACTTCGTAAGGATAGAGGGAAGGGAGCAAGAGGACAGACCAAAGGCGGACTGATGGGGTTCAGAAGAGGAGGAGACAACTGAGAGGGGCAGACAAGGACAGCTGGAGGAGGGGGGGGGGGCAGAAGTCAGGGAGTGCACCTCAGCAAGGGCAGCAACCGAGAGGGAATCGGGGGCGAAACCTCCATATCTGGGACAGGGGGTTCGACCACTGAAATGGGAGGGGATGTAGTGACAGTCAGAGGGATGGGGTGAGAAAGAGAGCGAAGCCTTCTTACCCGCCGGAGAGGAAGAAGGAGAGGAGCCAGGCTTACGATTCTGACTCGAAGAGACAGGCGTTCCAGTAACAATGTACTGGGCGACAGACTCAATGGTCTCAGCAGGAGAAGAGGAACGAAAGCGAACAACACGAAGATTGCTGGGAGGATGATGGATATCAGCCTGGACAGACAGGTGGCGTGGAGGGTCAAGAGACTGGGGGGAGGGTCGGGAAGAAAGAGTGGAGGGAGATGGGGAAGAAGGCCAAGGAGATATGGTGGACTGGATAGGAAGGGGGGAAACCCCAGATGGAGAACCGGCAGGGAGACCATCCGGGACAGGAGGCAAAAGAATAGGGGAGGAGGTGGTGGGTGTGGATGGGTTTAAGGCCTGGAAACGGTTGTGAGACTGAGGAAGACGGGAAGCACGAGGAGAGGTAGAACGCAACACGCGAGCGTAGGAGACGCTTGCGAAAGGGGTGAGACGACGAACTTGGCGTCTCGCTTCAGGAAAAGACAGACGATCACGGTGCTTCAAGTTAAGGGCGGCTTCCTCGAGTTTGTAGTGCATACACGAGCGTGAGAAGGTAGGGTGGACTTCACCGCAATTGAGGCAGTGAGCCTGGGAAGAAGTGCACTCGAACTTAGAATGATTATCGTCCCCACACAAGGGGCACAGATACACAGTACTGGTGCATTTGAGGACACTGTGCCCGAACTTCCAACACTTATTGCAAAGTCTAGGAGAGGAATGTACTCCTGAACGGAGAATCTGGCACCAGCAAGAATAATAGAGGGTGGAAGGGCCCTACTATCAAAGGTGATTTTTACAACTTGAAGGGGCTGACGGCGACGACCACGAGGGGGTCGAGTAAACGTGTCCACCTGGAGGACAGAATAGCCTTGGGCTTCGAGGATATGTTTAATATCCTCATGGCAATCTTTGAGGTCCTGAACACCAGTTGCACCATGGTGTGGGAGGAGAACAGTGCCAACACTGGCATTTAACCGAGCGTTTTTGGAGACCCGAACAGGGGTCTCTCCAATGCAGGACAATGCGGCTAAGCGAGTAGCTGCATCCTGAGAAGGAGCAGTGACGACATGCATACCGTAACTGGTGGAGTTAAAAGTAACAGAGGCATCTACTGAATCAACAAGGTGTTTATGGAGGGAGAAATCGTCAGGAGTAGAATCCAGATGGTGGAGATCAAAGTATTTAGCCCACGTAGCGGAACCAAACAAGGCGTTGTAAGTACTATTACGGGAAGAGATCGTGCTGTCGTGGCGGGAACGACGTTGAGAACCCCCGGAGTTCATGGGGGTAAAAGGTGCAGTAGTCACAATGAGAGACGAAGTCATGCCAAGGGACGAGGTGGTCACCATTGGGGTCTGTGGACTCGACCCTACTGCAGAGGAGGGAGGGGAGCTTGGGGGAGTAGTCAGGTCGTCGGGGCCCAGTGCAGCGGGGGCTACAGGGCCTGGTCTTCCAACACAGTCCGACTCGGGGGCTTGGTCGCCCACCCCACGAGCCTGAGAAGGAACAAGGGAAAACATTATCAGCCATGAAAACGAGGGAAAACTTTCATTCACGAATGTGTCCCCACACCCACCATGGAGCCACAATTAGAGGCAGGACACCCAACAAGAAGGTATCGCCGATCTTGCCGGGGGCCCCCCAGGGGTGCGTCGTGAGTATACGCCCGACAAACGCCACCTTAAGAACCGTGAGTCCGTCGAGAGTGGGTTCAGTGACGAAAGGAGGATTGACAATAAAAGGTTTCCCTCGCTCTCGACGTCGGGTACTACAGTTCTACGGGTGCAAGAGTATGCTTCCTCAAACACCCGGGCGTCAAAACAAAAGAAGGTCGAAAGAATAATCAAAACAGGCATAAGGTCGGCAGGAAATGACAATTTGATAGGAGAAGAGGGGGGGGGGGAGAACAATGAAACACGAGGAAAAGGAAAAGGGGTCTGGCTAAATAGGTAAAGGCAGCAGCAGGAGCACAAGGCTGCAAAAGGACAGAGGATTGACCCAAGGAGCATCACACTCCGGCAGCTGCCCACCAAGCCCCCTCACGGTGGCAATGGGCCAGACAGTGAGGGGGACAAAATGCCTAAACAATTATTGAAAAAGAGAAACCACTTTTCTTACCTTCGTTGTGTTGAGTTTGGTTGAGGACGACAGCTGGTTGTGCCTGAGCCACCTGGTGGTCGTCCTCACACTGGTCGTCCTCACATAGGTCGTCCTCAGGTTCACAAAGTGGAGGTAATTCAGGGGAGAATTTCTCGACAACTTGAACGACGTTGTTAGTGCTGGGAACTTCAGAGGCGACGACACAGTCTCCTTGACAGTCGTCGTCGTCGTCGTCTGAGTCGATGTGGGGGATGTTGTCGAGGATACTGGTGACGGCTGCCGTGACGGGTGTCGACGCCCCGGGGTGACAGGCGTCCACAATGTTAGACACGCTGGGGTCACAGGCGCCGACAGTGAGGCTGGGGTTGTTGTCGACAGCGACGTTGGGGTTGTCGGCGTCGACAGCGACGCTGGGGTTGTCGGCGTCGACAGCTACGCTGGGGTTGTCGGCGTCGACAGCGACGCTGGGGCCACCGACGTCGACATCGACGCTGGGGTCACCGACGTCGACATCGACGCTGGGGTCACGGGCGTCGACAGCGACGCTGGGGTCACGGGCGTCGACAGCGACGCTGGGGTCACGGGCGTCGACAGCGACGATGTGGTCACGGGCGTCGACAGCGACGCTGGGGTCGTCGAGGTCGTCACTAGACGCCAAGCTGCGCGACGTCGCCGACAGCAGAGACTCGCGGGAGGCCCAGGCGTTAGACTTGACGTACAACAAAATTTTGTCGCAAACCTCACCGGAAAACTCACACAAGTCATCCCTATCCGCAGCTGTTCTCTGAGGCTTGCCGCAGCCGCAGGCGGCCGCAGACTGCGTCCCCAGTGCTAAAGATTCCCGACGATGCCGCAGGAATGTCTTGTAGCTTCGGCTTTCCACCTGCGGAGCTTCCGGTGTGGACACAGACCGCAACAGCTTGTGCACTGCCGGGGGACGACATCCGTGGACCATATCCCGTCTCCTGTGCCCAATCACTTTAGACCTGATGTAGCGATACTCTTGTTCTTTCCATTCTATCGTCTGGCAGGCCCCAAAGGCCTCCTTCAGGTCGTCCAGACTCGCGTCCCTGTAGCTCGAGTCGCTCTCATCACGTGCTGGGAGTGATGGGAGGTGCTGCGCCTGGAGGCGGGTGTCGTGGAGGGTCGCCTTCACCCTCCTTAAGATGGACGACAGGTCACTTGGAGTGTGACCTGTCGTCCCAGTGTGACTGAACGACATCTTTAATATGCTTCCGTCTTGGCTTTCCCATTGGTCCAGTCACTACAAGTACTCTTGTATCACCTTAGACACGAGAGGCTCTTGTGGTCATGATGGTGCTAGTGTCGGTCACTACAAGAACTCCTCTATCACCTTAAGACACACACTAGCGGCTCTTGTAGTCATGATGGCAGCACTAGAGGGCAGGTGATGGCAGCACTAGAGGGCAGGTGGTGGCAGCACCAGGTGACTCCTTGCTGTTCTCCTTACAAGCTGCCACCTACTCCTCCACCAACGCCAGCCAACATCTGCAAGAAAAGAAAACTTTGTCTTAGTAATGATTCAAAAGAAGCAATTAAAAAATAACCCAGCGCGTTTTCTTCCTATTGTGGAGTGCCAGCGTCCACTCACAGGATGAGTGGCGCTGCCCAATACTGTCACTATGGCGGTGTGTCCACTCACAGGATGAGTGCCGCTGCCCAATACTGTCACTATGGCGGTGTGTCCACTCACAGGATGAGTGGCGCTGCCCAATACTGTCACTATGGCGGTGTGTCCACTCACAGGATGAGTGACGCTGCCCAATACTGTCACTATGGCGGTGTGTCCACTCACAGGATGAGTGACGCTGCCCAATACTGTCACTATGGCGGTGTGTCCACTGACAGGATGAGTGGCGCTGCCCAATACTGTCACTATGGCGGTGTGTCCACTCACAGGATGAGTGGCGCTGCCCAATACTGTCACTATGGCGGTGTGTCCACTCACAGGATGAGTGCCGCTGCCCAATACTGTCACTATGGCGGTGTGTCCACTCACAGGATGAGTGGCGCTGCCCAATACTGTCACTATGGCGGTGTGTCCACTCACAGGATGAGTGGCGCTGCCCAATACTGTCACAATGGCGGTGTGTTCACTCACAGGATGAGTGACGCTGCCCAATACTGTCACTATGGCGGTGTGTCCACTCACAAGATGAGTGGCGCTGCCCAATACTATCACTATGGCGGTGTGTCCACTCACAAGATGAGTGGCGCTGCCCAATACTGTCACTATGGCGGTGTGTCCACTCACAGGATGAGTGGCGCTGCCCAATACTGTCACTATGGCGGTGTGTCCACTCACAGGATGAGTGGCGCTGCCCAATACTGTCACTATGGCGGTGTGTCCACTCACAGGATGAGTGGCGCTGCCCAATACTGTCACTATGGCGGTGTGTCCACTCACAGGATGAGTGGCGCTGCCCAATACTGTCACTATGGCGGTGTGTCCACTCACAGGATGAGTGGCGCTGCCCAATACTGTCACTATGGCGGTGTGTCCACTCACAGGATGAGTGGCGCTGCCCAATACTGTCACTATGGCGGTGTGTCCACTCACAGGATGAGTGGCGCTGCCCAATACTGTCACTATGGCGGTGTGTCCACTCACAGGATGAGTGGCGCTGCCCAATACTGTCACTATGGCGGTGTGTCCACTCACAAGATGAGTGGCGCTGCCCAATACTGTCACTATGGCGGTGTGTCCACTCACAGGATGAGTGACGCTGCCCAATACTGTCACTATGGCGGTGTGTCCACTCACAGGATGAGTGGCGCTGCCCAATACTGTCACTATGGCGGTGTGTCCACTCACAGGATGAGTGGCGCTGCCCAATACTGTCACTATGGCGGTGTGTCCACTCACAGGATGAGTGGCGCTGCCCAATACTGTCACTATGGCGGTGTGTCCACTCACAGGATGAGTGGCGCTGCCCAATACTGTCACTATGGCGGTGTGTCCACTCACAGGATGAGTGGCGCTGCCCAATACTGTCACTATGGCGGTGTGTCCACTCACAGGATGAGTGGCGCTGCCCAATACTGTCACTATGGCGGTGTGTCCACTCACAGGATGAGTGGCGCTGCCCAATACTGTCACTATGGCGGTGTGTCCACTCACAGGATGAGTGGCGCTGCCCAATACTGTCACTATGGCGGTGTGTCCACTCACAGGATGAGTGGCGCTGCCCAATACTGTCACTATGGCGGTGTGTCCACTCACAGGATGAGTGGCGCTGCCCAATACTGTCACTATGGCGGTGTGTCCACTCACAGGATGAGTGGCGCTGCCCAATACTGTCACTATGGCGGTGTGTTCACTCACAGGATGAGTGACGCTGCCCAATACTGTCACTATGGCGGTGTGTCCACTCACAGGATGAGTGGCGCTGCCCAATACTGTCACTATGGCGGTGTGTCCACTCACAGGATGAGTGGCGCTGCCCAATACTGTCACTATGGCGGTGTGTCCACTCACAGGATGAGTGGCGCTGCCCAATACTGTCACTATGGCGGTGTGTCCACTCACAGGATGAGTGGCGCTGCCCAATACTGTCACTATGGCGGTGTGTCCACTCACAGGATGAGTGGCGCTGCCCAATACTGTCACTATGGCGGTGTGTCCACTCACAGGATGAGTGACGCTGCCCAATACTGTCACTATGGCGGTGTGTCCACTCACAGGATGAGTGGCGCTGCCCAATACTGTCACTATGGCGGTGTGTCCACTCACAGGATGAGTGGCGCTGCCCAATACTGTCACTATGGCGGTGTGTCCACTCACAGGATGAGTGGCGCTGCCCAATACTGTCACTATGGCGGTGTGTCCACTCACAGGATGAGTGACGCTGCCCAATACTGTCACTATGGCGGTGTGTCCACTCACAGGATGAGTGGCGCTGCCCAATACTGTCACTATGGCGGTGTGTCCACTCACAGGATGAGTGGCGCTGCCCAATACTGTCACTATGGCGGTGTGTCCACTCACAGGATGAGTGGCGCTGCCCAATACTGTCACTATGGCGGTGTGTCCACTCACAGGATGAGTGGCGCTGCCCAATACTGTCACTATGGCAGTGTGTCCACTCACAGGATGAGTGACGCTGCCCAATACTGTCACTATGGCGGTGTGTCCACTCACAGGATGAGTGGCGCTGCCCAATACTGTCACTATGGCGGTGTGTCCACTCACAGGATGAGTGGCGCTGCCCAATACTGTCACTATGGCGGTGTGTCCACTCACAGGATGAGTGACGCTGCCCAATACTGTCACTATGGCGGTGTGTCCACTCACAGGATGAGTGGCGCTGCCCAATACTGTCACTATGGCGGTGTGTCCACTCACAGGATGAGTGCCGCTGCCCAATACTGTCACTATGGCGGTGTGTCCACTCACAGGATGAGTGGCGCTGCCCAATACTGTCACTATGGCGGTGTGTCCACTCACAGGATGAGTGGCGCTGCCCAATACTGTCACTATGGCGGTGTGTTCACTCACAGGATGAGTGGACGCTGCCCAATACTGTCACTATGGCGGTGTGTCCACTCACAGGATGAGTGGCGCTGCCCAATACTGTCACTATGGCGGTGTGTCCACTCACAGGATGAGTGGCGCTGCCCAATACTGTCACTATGGCGGTGTGTCCACTCACAGGATGAGTGGCGCTGCCCAATACTGTCACTATGGCGGTGTGTCCACTCACAGGATGAGTGGCGCTGCCCAATACTGTCACTATGGCGGTGTGTCCACTCACAGGATGAGTGACGCTGCCCAATACTGTCACTATGGCGGTGTGTCCACTCACAGGATGAGTGGCGCTGCCCAATACTGTCACTATGGCGGTGTGTCCACTCACAGGATGAGTGACGCTGCCCAATACTGTCACTATGGCGGTGTGTCCACTCACAGGATGAGTGACGCTGCCCAATACTGTCACTATGGCGGTGTGTCCACTCACAGGATGAGTGGCGCTGCCCAATACTGTCACTATGGTGGCGCTGCCCAATACTGTCACTATGTTGGCGTGTCCACTCACAGGATGAGTGGCGCTGCCCAATACTGTCACTATGGCGGTGTGTCCACTCACAGGATGAGTGGCGCTGCCCAATACTGTCACTATGGCGGTGTGTCCACTCACAGGATGAGTGGCGCTGCCCAATACTGTCACTATGGCGGTGTGTCCACTCACAGGATGAGTGGCGCTGCCCAATACTGTCACTATGGCGGTGTGTCCACTCACAGGATGAGTGGCGCTGCCCAATACTGTCACTATGGCGGTGTGTCCACTCACAGGATGAGTGTGGCGGTGTGTCCACTCACAGGATGAGTGGCGCTGCCCAATACTGTAACTATGGCAGTGTGTCCCCTCACAGGATGAGTGGCGCTGCCCAATACTGTAACTATGGCAGTGTGTCCACTCACAGGATGAGTGGCGCTGCCCAATACTGTCACTATGGTGGTGTGTCCACTCACAGGATGAGTGGTGCTGCCCAATACTGTCACTATGGCGGTGTGTCCACTCACAGGATGAGTGACGCTGCTCAATACTGTCACTATGGTGGTGTGTTCACTCACAGGATGAGTGGCGCTGCCCAATACTGTCACTATGGCGGTGTGTCCACTCACAGGATGAGTGGTGCTGCCCAATACTGTCACTATGGCGGTGTGTCCACTCACAGGATGAGTGGTGCTGCCCAATACTGTCACTATGGCAGTGTGTCCACTCACAGGATGAGTGGTGCTGCCCAATACTGTCACTATGGCAGTGTGTCCACTCACAGGATGAGTGGCGCTGACCAATACTGTCACTATGGCGGTGTGTCCACTCACAGGATGAGTGGCGCTGCCCAATACTGTCACTATGGCGGTGTGTCCACTCACAGGATGAGTGACGCTGCCCAATACTGTCACTATGGCGGTGTGTCCACTCACAGGATGAGTGGCGCTGCCCAATACTGTCACTATGGCGGTGTGTCCACTCACAGGATGAGTGGCGCTGCCCAATACTGTCACTATGGCGGTGTGTCCACTCACAGGATGAGTGGCGCTGCCCAATACTGTCACTATGGCGGTGTGTCCACTCACAGGATGAGTGGCGCTGCCCAATACTGTCACTATGGCGGTGTGTCCACTCACAGGATGAGTGACGCTGCCCAATACTGTCACTATGGCGGTGTGTCCACTCACAGGATGAGTGGCGCTGCCCAATACTGTCACTATGGCGGTGTGTCCACTCACAGGATGAGTGGCGCTGCCCAATACTGTCACTATGGCGGTGTGTCCACTCACAGGATGAGTGGCGCTGCCCAATACTGTCACTATGGCGGTGTGTCCACTCACAGGATGAGTGGCGCTGCCCAATACTGTCACTATGGCAGTGTGTCCACTCACAGGATGAGTGGCGCTGCCCAATACTGTCACTATGGCAGTGTGTCCACTCACAAGATGAGTGGCGCTGCCCAATACTGTCACTATGGCGGTGTGTCCAC